AGAAGGATTCTCTGATGGGACAGAAAAGGTTTGCAAGCTTGAAAAGAGTCTGTACGGTTTAAAGCAAGCCGCCAAAGATTGGAACGACGAAATCTCTGACTTTTTTCTTACCATAGGATTTGTTAATACCGACGATGACCCGTGCGTTTATTACAACAACGACAGAAGTGTGATAATAGTATTGGTCGTAGACGACGGGTTCATTGCCGCCCAAAACGAGGAGGATATCTTCAAGATTCTGAAGTTACTGAATGACAAGTTTGAAATTACTTATAAAAGAACTTTACAATCATGTATGACATACTTAGGTATGAAGATCGAAGTGTCGTCTGAAGGAATTTTTGTGAGTCAACCTGATTACACAGAAAAGATCTTGAAACGATTTAGGTATGATCGAGTGAACGCCGTGAATACACCGATGGAGCCAGGAATGAAAACGAATTCTGAAAACCTTATCAATGACCAGCCACTAGAAAAACAAAATCGTTATCTCGAAGCCATCGGAAGCTTGCTTTATTTAGCAACAATCTCCCGTCCAGATATAAGCTACGCCGTCAATTACCTGAGTAGATTCAGTAATCGACCCTTGACAAGTCACTGGAAGATGATTAAAAGAATTTTTCAGTATCTGAGAGGAACTACACATTTTGGAATATTTTTTAACCGAGATCCGAAGTTGATAGCATATACAGATGCGGATTACGGAGGAGACGCCAATAGTTTACATTCTACAAGTGGAGTTCTTATCATGAGAGGAGGTCCAATTGTATGGTATTCAAGAAAGCAGCGTCTCGTGGCGAACTCAACCGCTGAAGCCGAGTATCGTGCAGCAGTTTCATCTATCGATGATATCTGCTGGGTGCGAAGAATAGGGATTGAACTGAGGTTATTAAAGAATGAAGAACCTACTTTGTTGCTTGTCGACAATCAGTCGGCAATTCACATGCTTAAAAACACTCACCAAGGAAAGATAACCAAGGGTAAAAAGCATATTGAGATACAGAGAAAATTTATTCAGCAGCATATTGGCATGACTGTTGAACTGCAACATATTAAAAGTGCCGATCAGCTTGCTGACATACTAACAAAACCTTTGAATCGTGTAATATTCGAAAAGTTACGCTGTAATATGATTAAGGAGGAGTGTTAGGATTAATCATATTTTTGTAGGCCGCGCTTAAGTCAAGCACCTGTGTTTTTTTGTATAAAAATCCAAGTCGGATATGCGCAAGCAATAAAACGTTCTTGTTGATTAATCCCGCCTTTTTTTCTTGATTCATTCATGGATACACGAAAGTACAACACTGCGCTATTTTTACTTCTTGTATATTCAGAACTTTTAAAATTTTACCAAATAACCGGGACAAACTAACAAACTGACCGAGACACAGGGACTACATTGTCAAACCAGGACAGTCCCGGTCAAAGTGGGATGTCTGGTAAGCCTAATTATAACATATGTTTAAGGAAAATCTGATTGTTTCAGAAGTACAACAAAAATAATCTATAAAAAATACAGGTACTACAGAGAAAAGAAACTGATGAAGGGTATGACACCCAAAATGCATTTTCTTGTAACTAATATCAATAAAGTCTAAATTCATTCCTGTTGTTTTCAATGTTTTCTGTATGATAAGTCCATAAAAAGCAATATTCTAACAAGGGGACCTTACGGTCTCGGAAATTCAGTTCGGGATGAGACTTGGCAGGTTCGTAGTATACCTCAAGGGTGTCCACCCAGAAGAATTGTAAAGCGCACTAGCCAGAAGATTCCGAGAAAAAAAGGCTCTAAAATTTTAAGCGCAGCTTATATACCGATCAATTCTACCTTATGGTAGTACAGCGAAGTGGCTCAGTCCATAGCGTACTCGCCTGCAACGCGGTGCGACCTAGGTTCGATCCTACCTTCTGCAAACTTTTTTTTTTTTTTTATTGGTTTAAAAATTATAACAATTTTTAAATAAAGTTAATGACGTAAAAATATTATCAATTAAATCATAAATACTTTTATTTTATTTATGAAATGACTGTTACAGCGGATTAAAATGTGAATTAAAGATAACATTTTATTTTTCAAAAGTTGAATAATTTCAAATGCATTTTTAATGGAGGTAAATTAAAACTTCAATT